ATCTTAACTTTTCTTGAAATATTGCAAATTTCATCTTCCATATTCTTGTAAAATAAATTCTCATATTACGCAAGTGGGTGGAATACGAACATGTGGGTAAGTACATAATTTATTGACCTGAATACGACTGTTATTGACAGAATAACATCAACTGATGAGATACAGTGGAACCTCTATTCAGGGGACACCCTGGGGACCAATTAAGGCAAGTGTCCCCTGAATGGAGGTTGGGCTGCGGTTTGTTGATAATTAACTAACAAATCAAAAAATATTCTTTTATTCTGCCTTAGAATCTGCTGCAGTCATTATTTCAAGCAGCTATCTCGGCAATATGAATTGCCACAAATGCAGTACATCGATTTAAGTGAGATAGTTCATGTTGTGAAAGCTGTGGTCAGTGTGACTGGTGTATATACTTAAACTTACCAGCACTTTTTATGGTCAGTCACTTTTCAGGGGCTAACTAAAGGTGTCTCCTGAATGGAGCTTAAACCTGGGTTTTTAAAGCCAGAAAAAGTGTTCCTTTCCCCAAATAGAGATGTCCCCCCAATAGAGGTAAAGGGATTTTCACATGACCTTGAAATGAAAATGCGCAAACAAAACAGACATAACAAATGAAAGGAAATGGAGCCATCTGATTGGTTTATCGAACGGATAGAAACACGTATGGCTTTTGGTTGGTTAAGTAAATGTTCAGCTGAAAAAACTTCATGCCTGAAGAACTTTCTAGAAATCAATCAATACTTTGCTTTGATGCCATACTGCAACACAATTGGCCAATCGAACAATGCCTTCTCCATATTAGGGTTTTCTTTGGTGGGAAAACGAAGAGTCTACGTTTTGATCTTCTCGCCCATATTTGGCTTATTAAACAAATTACGAGTATTTACCGAAACCATTTTTCAAGGTCATAAGAAAATCACCCTAACAGATACAGAGATTATGCGAATATTTTTCTGGGACCAAATTTTGTATCCTGTAAATGGAGGTGTCCCTTGAATAGAGTTGTCCCGAAGGAGAGTTTCCCATGTACACTTGATTCATATCGAAATGACTAGAGCACAGGTTGTTGAGATGACAGTAATGCACTCTCAACAACAGTCCCATTCTGACAGGACTACACTCACTGGGAGTTAATCCATTTAATAGCCACAGCTCCCCCACCCCCCCCCCCCCAACAATGGATGTGGTAATTT